GGTGATGCCTGCAGCCCCGTGCACGGGGCGGTGGAAATCGTGGCTCAGAGCACGCGGCCGGTGTCGAAGCGTGAAGCCTCACCGTGCGCTTCTCAAATACCCAGGGCTGTCAGAAGAGCTTTGCGAAAGGAGAGAAGAAAGAAAAAGGGGTTCGTCCCTTCTCCCCGGGCAGCTCAAGGCTCTTTGGGCTCTCTCCTGCTTCAGGCAGGAGCCCAGCAAACGACACAACGCTGCAAGCACGCGCGCGGATTCAGCCCAGCCCCAGGTTTGCTCCTCCTGTGCTCCCTGCTGCAAATGTCCTGCCGAGGACACCCACCGGCCACGGTCCCCCTGTCCCGCTCCTCTCCCGGCAGCATCTTACCACCCAAGGAGCAAAGCGTGAACCTACAAGCCCGGCGCAATGCAAGAAAATACGTACTTTTCAGGTTTCCCAAAACGACATGGAATTCAAGCTGTTTTCACCCCGAATGAGCCGGGGGGAGGAGAAGTTGGGCTCGGGGCAGCTACGCCAGCTCACCTTGCCCCGGGCACAGAGCCGTGCCAGGCAGGGGACGATGCCCCAGGCGAGGGCAGGGGACGGGCAGGGCACGGATCCCTCCCTTCCCCACGCCAGACCCCCAGGCAGTGCCCAGACCCCCGTTTACCAGGGATGGCCGGATCCTGCCAGGCACCTGGGTACCTACACTGCCAAGATGCGTGCACTGAGCAGGATTTTTTGCTGCCCACGGGCTGCAGCCGATCTCCCGCCTGACGGACCCACCGAGGGTCCAGACCAGTGCCCCCAGTTCGCAGCAGCAACCGGGCTCGGGTCCTACCTGGACGGAGGTGCAGGTGGTGATGACGCTCGTGTCGTACATGGTGTTGCTGTCGTTGATGTCATCCGGCAAGGCAGGGCTCTTCTCCGTCTTGGGTGGCAGGGTGATGGGCGGTGAGGGGTTCTTGGGGGAGAGGTTCACGTCGGGAGGGTCCAGACCAGTGCCCCCAGTTCGCAGCAGCAACCGGGCTCGGGTCCTACCTGGACGGAGGTGCAGGTGGTGATGACGCTCGTGTCGTACATGGTGTTGCTGTCGTTGATGTCATCCGGCAAGGCAGGGCTCTTCTCCGTCTTGGGTGGCAGGGTGATGGGCGGTGAGGGGTTCTTGGGGGAGAGGTTCACGTCGGTGCCGTTGCCGAAGGCTTGGATGGCGTTTCCTGGGGGGGCAGGAGATGTTTAAGGGGGGGGGCTGCACCCCGGCGGTGACGGGTGAGGAGGGGGACGGGGAAGCGCCTTACGGAGACAGGGGTTTTCCGTGAAGTCTCGGAGGAACTTCTCGCACTCCTCCTCCATGTTGCCGCTGCCTTTGCAGGAGCACCAGGGCGAGATGGTGATGCTGGTGGTGCTGGCGTCAACGTAGTTGGGCGTCATGTCGAAGCCTGGAGAAGGAAGAGGGATGAGGGGCCGCGGTGGGAGAGACCCTTCACCATCCCGTCCCCCCCGGCACTCACCGATGAGCCCCGCGTAGGAGCCCAGGCACGCCTGGTAGTTGTCCCCGGGGCAGCTCGTCAGGGACTGGAAGGAGGCTTGGCAGTTGGTGTGGAAATCGGCCAGCCGGGACCTGGGGGCGAAGAGCAAGAGGGGGAGGGACGGGGTTTCACCGCTGCTCCCGGCACAGAGCAACTCAGCCACATGGAGCAACATTTAAAAAAAAAAAAAATAAAGGCAAGAAAAGAGGATAAACGGGATAGAGAGAGGAGAGCTAAACGAGTTCTAGACTCAGGAGGTGCAACTTCTTGTCTCACCTCTGGTCGCCCCAGCCTGCCGGAGGGTCATGGGCAAGGGAGGGGTGCCTGCCTGCGGGCGGGTACCCCACTGGGGATGAGCCCCCCGGGCGTGGGACCCTCGTTCCTCCATCCTTTACGGCTCCCCCCCCCCCCCCCCCCGATAGAGAGAGGAGAGCTAAACGAGTTCTAGACTCAGGAGGTGCAACTTCTTGTCTCACCTCTGGTCGCCCCAGCCTGCCGGAGGGTCATGGGCAAGGGAGGGGTGCCTGCCTGCGGGCGGGTACCCCACTGGGGATGAGCCCCCCGGGCGTGGGACCCTCGTTCCTCCATCCTTTACGGCTCCCCCCCCCCCCCCCCCCCTCCCCGAATCTCGACACCATAAACTTCACAACCTCGTTTGGCCGCGCTGCTCCCGGCGTCATTACACGACTGTAAAATTTCACTGCTTGTTTTTATCTTCCCCCTGAAATGTTAAAGCTTAGAGCTCAATTAAAATGCCTGAGTTTGAGGGTTACATTTTCCTTTATTCGAAGAAGGGAAGGGAAAAAACAAAAGGAAGCCTCGCAGAGCCCCCGGGGGCTGAGATGCTCGTGCCCTGCCTGCCCTCCTGCCGGACTGGGCAGGGCGAAGGCAGAAAGAGCAGAGACGGGGAGAACGGCAGCAGGATCAGGGGGGATAAAGAAGGGACAACAGGAGCAGAGGAGCTGATTTCCACTCCTAACCCGATTACTGGCTTGTTTACCCCTTCTCATCTTCTCTCGCTGCTCGGTGTAATGCACGGAAAAAGCACAAGGAGCGATGGAAGCCCAGTTGTCTCCAGGTGCGTCGGTAATCTGGCTCTGCCGACACAAACCCACGCTTTCCATGCGATGCTCTGGGGATTTTTCTCGGGATGAACCGAATCACCGAGGTAGAAGGATAAAGAAACGGGAAGGATGTAGAAGAGGATGGACAGATGGACCAGGTGGACAGATGGATGGGCAGCAGTTTTCCAAACTGACTCAGTCATTAAACGAATAGACACGAGGCTGAATTGTGGCCCAGGCTGGATCTCAATCACAGGGAGGAATTGCTGCGAAGCAGCCAAGCTGCTGACACTGTAGATGAGACCTTGCATTTCACAACAGAAAATCTCCTCAGCTCTTTTTTTCCACACTTCATACAGAAAGAAGGAGGCATACGTTATTTTCTTTAGCTTCCTTTTCCTTTCTTCTTAATTAAATGTCATCTTTGTCCAACCGGTGATTGAATCATCCAACAGTACCTGCCTAAAGCCGTAAGAACGGATGAAAATAAAGGGTAGAAATTGTGGTGGTTTTTTTTTTTTAAGTAGGAATTATTTGTTTTCAGGAGGTTTTGATCAAATTAAATGGAGGAACAAATGGAGCAGTGATTGAATGAAGTCGAAGGGATCTGCAGCGATACCTTACATCCATCCAGCACTTTTCATCACACCCGATCTCGATGCACTAAGGGAGCTGGCGGGGGGTCGGGTACCACCGAAACGCAGCCAGCGCCAGGCAGGAACAGAGCTGCTGCTGCTGCTGAGCCCGCAGCCAGAAGGCCACTGCAGTTTCACGGGCTGCGTACTGGGGAAAGGACAGAAGAGGGAATAAAGCACAGCTGCTCGGAGCTGGACCAGAGCACTGGATGCTCCATGGGGAAATGCAGCGGTTTCCTGGAGACTTTCGCTGTTTCCAGCCATCTGTGACTGGGGCTTTTTCCAGGTCCCAAGGTTTCACAACCACAATTGCAACCATCTTCTGTGGAGCAGCTGAGCCTCTTCTGGGGACTCCCTGGTCCTTCGGGGACCCCAGCATCACCCCACAGCGAGCTCCCCGGCTGAGGCGGGGGTTTGGCGAGGGCCACTCCATGCACTTGATACCTTCTTTTTGCTGCTTCCCAGGGCCGGGCATGCAGGTTGCACTCAGTTTTCGCCTGCTGATGGGCTGCCAGCAGCGTGAACTGGATTATTTTCCCACTTACACCAGCTGCCTGACCCACTTACAGCCTCCCGACAGGCTGCAAATTTCCAGGGCAAGGTCAGCCTCTTCATCTGGGTTATTCAAGCACTCCCGACGAGAAGACAGGACTCCTGGGCACCACCGCGCTCTTCTACGCATTGGACACTAATAAATAGCAATAACACAACTGGCAGCACCTCTCCCTCCTCCTCCTCCTGCAAACAAAACTCCCCCAGCCCACGTGCAGGTTATTTTGGCCAGACCCACATTTATTTTCCTCCCCACGCCAGCGGTGCAGAGGGAAGCTGGGGCGCCCATCCTGCCCCCATACCTGGGACTGATGCTCAGCTCTCAGCACACAGTCTCCCTCGCTGGAGCTGTGCACGAAGCCCAGCATGTGCAGAGAAGCTTTGCCAGGGGACTTTCGCAGTGCTCCCTGCAACCAAAACCAGCCTCAGGTTAAGGGGTGTTGCTCCCCACTTGCAAGGTGGGAGCAGAGGGGAGAGCCCAGGGTGGGCGTTGCAGAGCAGAAAAGCTCCAGCGCTGCTCCTTTCACACAATCCCCATCACGGGAAGGTGTCTGGACTCCCTCCTCCTCCCCTCTGTGGGAGATAAATAAAGTTTCCGACAGCATTTCCCCTCTCCCCAAATGAGAGGCGAAGGCACGTCAATTCTCTTAAAGAACTGAGGCAAGTTCATCACCGAGCGCCACAAAAATTTGTCACGCTGCTCCCCGGGGCCCTGCTCCTGGCTTGTAGCATCCTCTAAGGCAAATGTTATTCTTTTCATAATACATGACAAGCCAGCTGGTAATCTTTCCAGAATATCCAAGCC